TGCGAAAGCAGAAATTGATTAAATTTCTTGTAAAGCATCTGCAACAACCACTGAAAAGTGTTGCCAGTAGCTGCCTGCAAAGCCAGCAAGGTACAGCAGTTAGGGTTGTGGTCAGTGATACAAAGACAGTACTCAATCCCTCAGGTCTGCAGACACGGACCTGCCACCTCCCATTCCTCTGCACCCTCCTCCAGCCACTGCCATCGCAAATCCTGCCAACAAAAGGCTCCTCTCAACCTGTCTCTGTATAGCACCCAGCTCAGTGCTTCTTGAAGACAACATGGGCAAGAATGGAATGTGAAGAGCCCTGCAGAGCAGGCCTGGCTTTAGGTCACTTACCAGGGAATGACACACTTGCAGTGGTGTCTTTTCCCAGCAAGCTGCTCCACTTTGCGAATTCTTTCTGCTTGGATCTGATACAAGTTCTTGCCACTGGGCAACCCCACGTTGTACATGCCCTTGGGATAGCTGACTCCCAGGCGGGTTCCTTGTCCTCCAGCTAGGAGTAGCACTGCCACCTTGTTCTGTGAAATCTGATGTAAACCTGTAGGAAAAGAAGCCCAAGGGAATATAAGAACCTCCAAAGCAATCAACACCCCATGTTCTTCTCCTGAGCGTTTTTGCAGAGCTCAGGCAATAGCCAGAAGCTGAGAGTTCAATGCTGGCAGCTCAGAGAGAAATATGTCACTGCACACAAAGAAGAAAATTCCTTTCAACTCCTGGACGCAGCAGTTTCTTCACCTAAAGCAAGAATGGGTGCAAGTAACAGGCAATAGCCATGATCTGCAGCTTAGGAGATTCAAATTAGGATACAAACTCTTTACTAGGGAGGTAGTGCAGCACTAGAAAAGACATCGGGAGAGGAAGGAATGTCCTCTAAGGTTTTCAAGGTTTACCTTAGTAAAGTTGTGGCTGACCTGGCCTCAGGCTGTTTACAGTTCTGTTCCAAATGGGGGTTGGACTAGAGCCGTCCAGAGGTCCCTTATAATTTCTATATCCCAAAGAAGCCAAGTCTCATCATCTTGAGTAAAGCAGGATGATTTTTAGAATCTGCCTTAATCAATTATCTGTACCTGTGCTCCAGCTTCAATAGAAGCTGAACACAGCTGCAGTCAGCTGCTAGTAATACAGCCAAGCCTGCAGGAGCTACAACTTCCACAATCTATTTGAAACCAGTGTCAGTGCTCCTGACAAACCAGGGAAGTCCAGAACCTGGGGAAGAACCAGAGCACACAATAAACACTCAGCTCGCTCTCAGACTTTGGTCCCTGCCTTCTCCCAAGTTAGCACCACAATAATTACTGACAACCGTGAGAAAGATTTTTCATTAGGGAACACTGAGGTTCTCTGAGAATGCAAGGAACATTAGGCTTGCCATGTCAGAAGCTCTGCTGCAGGTAGCTATCAGGGCCTTCTGCCATCACACAGCACTGAACTGTGACTGCTCCTGCAGCCAAGGACAGCCTGTGGAGCACCCCAGCCTTCAGGAAACACCTCACATTAACCACAGCTGAGCCTAAAATATTCCTGATTTGGACTGAAAAATATGGGGACCAAAGAAATTGAATTAGAAAAAAAAGAGGATTGAGTTTATGTTAATCTTTAAATAATTGGCTGTTTAAATGATCAATAGAGCAAAACTACCAACTGCTGTTTTAACACCCTGGCTCAATTTTAATTCTGTTTAAAACTACAGCTTCCAGCAATTTTCTCAGCAACTACTTAAGTTGTCCATGACATTGCATTCACCATACCACCATTCCCCTTCCCATGCTTAGAAGTTTCAGTCTTATCACAGCAGTAACACAAGACTTTCTCCCTAAACACACCCCTTCCAAAAAGGCTGATGGTGTCCTGGCACACAGCCATGGTTCTGTTGTAGAGTAGCCTCTGGGGTCACAGGGCCACAGGAGTGAGAGCTGGATACCACCTCTGGAGATCTTCAATCCTCCAAGTGGAATTAGGAGAGCTCCCTAGGAAGAAACCTGTGTGTGGAAATCTTGGTATTTCTAAACTTCAGGAGGTCTTTGGACAGCAGGGGAAGGTTGAATAGGTTTAAATTGGTAATGTAAGCAAAAAATGATCCCTTTGTGCCTCCACTGAGCTGCCTATGAGACTCAAAGTACAGAGCAGAGGGTCTCAGCTATTACTTACAACAAGTACTTGCCCCAGTCCCATCACATGGTTTTCCTGCATGCTCAGCTGTTTGCCAGTGCAGGGCATCAGTGCAGGAGAAGGGAAAGAGCTGAATGGAGAGGCACCAGAGCATGGCTCCAAACCTTCTCATGCCCTGGCTTGGGTGCTGGCTGTTTCTCTACTGGGATCCAGCACAGAAAGAATTTATGGAGGGAAAAAAAAAAAACTAAAAAAGTTGCCCTGTGGGACACTTCCAAAATGTTCTGCCTCATCCTTGGAAATGCTCAACGCCTAGTTGGACAAGGCCCTGAGCAATCTCATATAGTGGGCGGCATACACACCCATGGCAACAGTTAGAACAAGATAACCTTGTCCCTAACATTTCTTCCAACCCAAACTATTCTGTGATTCTGTGAAACAAGCAATTAAAACATTTTTTTAAGAATTATTTTTCTTCAAAATAATCTAAAATTGAACTTGAGCTGAAGTATTTCACAGCAATTTAAACCAAAGCTGCTTGAGGTCTGAGCTCAGCATTTACTGGTCTCAGTTGCTACAGCATGGGGGCTGCTGCTTTAGAGCGCAATTGAGATTCACCCACCAGTGGAAGAAGTTGGGCATTTGCCCTGCTGCATCTCCCCGCTGCACTGTCAGCCTCACACCAACACACACACACACACACACATACGTTCTGATGCAACAGACCACATCCCACAGATCCCAAATTAGACGTTTCTGCTGAGCAACAGATTGTGACCAAGAGCATCATTTACATGACACTCTGAAGTGAACACTGTATTGGGAAAGTCAAGGAGATCCCCACTCTGCCCCACAGCATCAAGGAGCTACAACTCTCAGCCACAGCACACACGTGCCACAGCTCACAGGTGCCACAGCTGGCATCACCCCACTGAAATGCAGATGCCCCATAAGAGATAGCAGTTCTATAAGGTTTTCCACACAGTGACAAGGAGATGGGGTCTGCCCAAGGGGGAGTTGCCATCTCACACCCATCTCCTGGAGGGGCCTCTCACTGCTCGGACTGAAACCTCAACCTCAGTGGGATAAACTCAAACCCAAAGCAGTATCACTGATAACATCAATGATGTCACTTTTTTTTTACAATCCAGCAGACAGACAGGGACATATTCCAGCAGGGCTCACCATGGTGCACAAGAACAAACCAGACAGGGGAGTGTATCCCATCATTTATGGCATTCTCAGTATTTATTATACAACCCTACAACACAGACAGTTTTTCCAAGTTCTGATCTTAGGTCACTCTGAAAACAAGTAACACCAAAAATTTGAGTAAGTAGCTCTGCTCTGAACTTCCCAACAGTAAAATTACCAACATTCACAACAAAAGTTCATAAGAACTGACTCATCTGGCTTTAATGGGAAGATCTATCCCTTTTAAAACATCCACCTAATTTTCTGAAGCATATGAAAAATGTAATGAACAAAAGAGTCTTCCTAGTTCCCAAGGCAATACTGGGACACTGCCGGCTTGAGCTAAGTACTGATATTGAAATGTTAGTTATCTAATTGCACTGTTTGTTATCTCTAAACTACCTGGGGATCACCTACACCCCCCACCCAAACTGCCATTCTAGGACTGGGATGCAAATAGCAGAACCTGTGGAATCATGGGAGGGGGTTTTGGGGATGAAAACACCCCTAAATGGAAGGCTGGGCACACTGGAGGGGGCTGGACGGGTGTGCTGGTTGGGGAAAAGGGAACCGCATCCCTGGTCTATGTCTGACCTGTCACCAGAGCCTACAGAGGACTGGGCTGTGGGAAGCAGGAACAAAGAAACAGCTCTTCCTGGTGTTACCAGGAGGAAAGGAAAGACGACAATCTGCTGATCCAGACTTCAGCAACAGACTGCACACCGCTTCACCCTTTGGCTACCAGTGTGCCATGAGGAAAGGAGGGGGACAGTTGTTGATCCAGACCTCACCTACAGACTGGACACATCTTCACCCTTCGGCTACCAGTGTGCCACAAAGACTTCAAGAACAGATTCTGCATGCCTTCTCCCCCTTCAGCTACCTGGAAAAAGCTACAAGAGCGGGAGCTAGCTCTGTGTCGAGCCCCCTGCCTAGCTGATCGTTTTAATAAAGAGCTGAACATTAATAAAAGCATAAACCCTGTTCATTTCAAAAAAACAAACAGCTCAAGTAAAAAGAAAATGTGTTGGCTGCAGAGATACCCACCTATGCTGCAGTTAGTCCTGCTCTGCAATTAAAAAAAAAATTAAAAAAAATAGATTTTGTAGGAGGAACAGACTGGTCTTGCAAGAACAGACTGAATTCTCTTACTGAACAGACACATCAGTGCCATTACAACAGTAGTCAATAAGAGAAAAAGACTCCAAACTTTTCAATTCTGCAGAGCAGTCAGATAACCAGAGTGGCTTTTCAAAGTCTCTGATGAAATGGGGTACACCTCAGCCCATGGCTAGGGAAATGTGATTGTTAATTGTCGGTGTTTAAGATCTGAAAGCAAATCTGACTAGGCAGTTTTTTTGTCTGAAACACAATAACAATAGTATTCGTTTATTAACTATTAAAAATATCTCAGGTGTTCCTGTTCCAGATCAAAAAGTAAGATGTATTCTATTTGCCATCTGTATAGCAGTTGTCTTGTGTTAAGTGGGCAGTTTTTCCTTATTTCTTCCACAGTCAGTCCTCCCTCCAGGGAGACATCTGCTGATAATGGGCCATTGAATATCACTGCAAAACTGATAAAAACTGTAACATCCCATTGTAAGATGCTCCACCTAAAAAGAGCAGCCAAGCATTCCTACCTGCATATAGTCTTAAGATTCTGGCCCACCAACACAGCTTTTTTTTCTCAGATGGATTTTCCCAGAGGAACAGCTGCCTCTTCCACTGCCTCTTCAGAGGAAGACTACACCCTTTTCTACAGGACCACTGCTCCGACAGAACCACACCCGACACTCCAGGAGGACTGCAGCCACAATTCCAATTAGACTGCTTCCAACAGGGTGTCAGGTTGGATTCTGACTCTCTTAATGTAATTTTAGTTTACTGCATTGTTTATTTTATCTTTTTATTTTCTTCCCTAATAAAGAACTGCTATTCCTGCTCCCGTATTTTTACCTGAGAACCCCCCTTAATTTCAAATTTATAACAATTCAGAGGGAAGGAGTCTACATTTTTCCATTTCAGGGAAGGCTCCTGCCTTCATTAACAAACACCTGTCTTTCCAAACCTAGACAGTTCCCAAGGCAAGTTTTCAGTTGTCTGGTTCTTATCCATAATTTTTCATCATAGAAAAAGGAGGAGGGAGAAGGAGGAGATATTATTTCAGCTGTTCAGTCTTTGGAGGATGCAATGCAGGTGGAAGCTGTGGACAGCTCAGACACCCACAGACAGAGCACAGAGCATCTCAGCTCAGTGTGATGATGACCCCACAGCCACAGGCTGTACCACCCATGCAGTCTCAGGGACACTGGACAGCAGGTTGGGATGGCTCATCTGCTCAAAGCTTGCTCAATGTGAAAAACTGCATTGACTTGTTTGTTCATCAAAAGTATGAAATTAGGATAAAAGGGTTGGGGGGTCAGGGCATGGAATTTGCAGGCTTGGGCAAGGCTGGTAACCGCAAACAAAGATTGTGAAAGATCTTGCAGGACTGGCTGGAACTGATAACCACAGCAGAAGGAGACCCATCACCCCCACTTGTGAAACCAATCTCTGCTGGAACTGATAACCGCAGCGGAAGGAGATCCATCACCCCCACTTGTCAAACCAACTGCTGCTGGAACTGATAACCACAGTAGAAGGAAACCCATCACCCCCACTTGTGCTGGATAAAAAGGGACTGAAGAGAAGGAAAGGTTGTCAGCTTTTGGCGGAACACAGATTCCCCAGCTGCACCCAGCGCTGTTTGCTTGCTATCGCTTGCTGTAATTAATAAAATTATTAATTGATCTTAAAAGGCTGAATCAAATTATTCACCTCAATTTATAACACTCAACACACTGCAAATAAAGGCCTTTCAGAGCTGCATTCCCTCAGAAACACCATGATCCCATAAAGCCTGTGCCCATGACGCTGGTTACACTGGGAAATGCCATGCAGGGATGCTGCCACATCTGCAGGGACACACAGCAGTGCCCGGGCTCAGTGGAACAGTCTTTGCTCCTGATTGCCCTGTTCCAGGAAATAAAATCCTTTTTCAGCCTTAAACTGGATCATAAAAACAAACCAAATGAAACAGAACATCTGTGTGTACCCCTTCTGATAAAATTTCAGGCTGCCTGCAGGGCTGAGGCAGCCTGGAGCCATCAGACTTCAGGGCCAGACGATTTGGACACAGCAGCAGGTTCCCAAACATATTTAGACCTGGGCTGCTGCATGCAGTGCTGGCAACCAGCAAGGCCAGCCCACACAGGCAGCCTGGCTTTCCTTTCCCTTTCCTTTCTGGGGCCAGTGGCACAAGACAGACACACCAGCTTCCTCACTTGCCTAGCTGGCTGGGGGACAAATGACCCAGCCCCATCTGCCTCTAGGGCTCAAAGGGTCCCTTCCTCCTCACTGTGACACCCTCAAATAGCCGTGCCAAGATGGACTTGGGGTGTGGGTGGATGAGAATCTCAATGTGCCCTGACCAAGTGCATTGCCACCCAGAAAGTCCCTGTGCCCTTAGCTGATACCACAAGGGGCACTACTTGAGAAGGGGGAATTCTCTGCCCTGCTCAGGTGAGACCCCACCTGCAGTGCTGCCTTCAGCTCTAAGGTTGTCAGGATGAGAAGGACATAGAGTTGCTGGAGTGAGTCCAGAGGAGGCCATGGAGCTACTCCTGGAGCCCCTCTGCTGTGCAGCCAGGCTTGGAGAGCTGCGGGTATTCACCTGGAGATGAGAAAGATTCAGGGAGATCTTAGAGCCCCTTCTAGGGACTAAAGGGGCTCCAGGAGAGCAGGAGAGGCACTGGGGACAAGGGATGGAGGGACAGGACACATGGAATGGCTTCCCACTGCCAGAGGGCAGGGATGGATGGAATATTGGGAAGGAATTGTTCCCTGTGGAGGTGGTAAGGCCTTGGCACAAATTACCCAGAGAAACTGTGGCTGACCCTCGATCCCTGGAAGTGTCCAAGGCCAGGTTGGACAGGGCTTGGAGCAACCTGGGACAGTAGAAGGTAATCCTGCAGGGGGTGGAACGAGATGGTCTTTAAGGTGCCTTCCAACCTAAACCATTCTGGGATTCTATGATTCACTGTACCAGCTTATGTTCCCTCCACCACCACTCAGCCCCATGAGTGGAGTCTGACACAGCAGAAAAGCTCCTCTGCCCTTATGCTTCTATTTCACTCCCCTGCCCACACATCCTCAACTCTTTACTGGCAATGCTGAGCCAAGGCTGTGCAGCCATTTGTCAAAATTTAGGCAAGTATCTCTACAACCAGGTGGATCTTCCTGGCCTTCTTTTTTTAATTAAAATTATTTTTTAACTGTGCTGTTATGTTTTATAAAGAAAGATCCAAGACACATAGGAGCCCTTATAAATAAATAAGAGTGTGCACTTAGGAAAAAAGCAGAGGACATCCATGTAAGATTAACATGCTGTGGGAAGAGCACATCCAGCCACCATCTCCCCCACTACCCCCAGCTTTCACACACCTACATCCACCAGTTTCCAAAAACCATGGATTATGGACTTTCCTGGGCTTCTCCCAGATCCTATCAACCTCCTGCCACACCTGACACAGAATGGATGTGGATCAGCAGCTGAAACCGGCCTTTGCACCTGTTGGTGGGCTAGGAGCTCATCCTCCAGGCAGCAACCCAGCTCAGGCAGCACCCTCCCCAGGGACTCATAGTCATAGAATGGTTTGGGTTGCAAGAGACCTTAAAGACCATCTCATTCCACCCTCTGCCACATGCAGGAACACCTTCCACTACCCCAGGTTGCTCCAAGCCCCATCCAACCTGGCCCTGAAACACTTCCAGGGATGGGGCTGCCACAGCTTCTTTGGGCAACCTGTGCCAAGGCCTCACCACTTTCACAGGGAACAATTTCTTCCTAATATCTAATCTAATCCTGCCCACTGTCAGTGTGAAGCCATTCTCCCATGCTCTGTCACTCCAAGTCCTTGTCCAAAGTTCCTCTCAACCTCTCTTGGAGCCCCCTTAAATCCTTTAATATTACATTTTTTCATGACAAATATTGTAAATCATTTTGGCAGAATACCCCTGTGCCCTCTAAACAGTATTGTGTCCTGTCCACTTGCAGGGATGGTGACTCCACAACTGCCCTGGGCAGCCTGACCGCCCTTTCAGTGAAAAAATTTTCCTCAATATTCAGCCTGAATCTCCTCTGACATAAATTGAGGCTCTTTCTTTTTATCCCGTCGCTTGTTCTGCGGGAGGAGAGACTGAGCCCCAGCTGGCTATCACTGCTTGTCACGGAGTTGTAGAGATCTTCTGATCCGGCCAGGCACGGCCGCGGGGCCTCGGCCGCTGCATTTCACAACGCAGCGTGAAAACTCGCGTGTCTCGACCAAAGTTCCCCGGGCCGAGGACACCGGCTGCCAGTACTACAGGCCGGGGCGCAGTCGTGATCCTGCTCTCTTCCTCCTTGCCCGACCCGCCGTCCCTGCGGCTCCCGTCCGCGGTGCCGGGGGTGGACTGCTCAGCGCTCCGCGGTGCAACCACAAGAGGCGGCTTCTGCCGCCGGGGGCCGTCCCTGTCCCGCACCGCCTCGGCTCGGCGGAACGCGGCTGCCCCCGAACCCCCGCGCCGGACCCCGGCAGCCCCGGCACGGAAGGGACAGGCGGCCTCGCGCCCCGCTCACCTTCCGCCTCCCAGCGCTGTAGCGCGGCGGGGCCGCTGCGGCGGACGCTGCCCAGCAGCTCGGGGGGGAGCGGCTCCATCCGGCCGTCCAGGCGCTCGTGCGGGCCGCGCTGGCGGGCCCCGGCCGCCGCCGCTAGCCGGCAGTGCTCGCCCAGCCCCGGCGGCAGTGCCGCCAGCAGCGCTCCGCGCTGTGCCGTGTTCAGCTCGGCCCAGAACCGCAGCAGATGGCCCTGTCCGCACCGCTCCAGCCGCACCCGCACCTCCTCGGGAGGGTCCATGGCGTGGGGAACCCGCTCTGAGCAGCGCGGGACGCGGCGGGATGGGGCAGGGCAGCCCCGGGCCGGGCGGAGCCAGAGGCGTCCTCCCGCCCCCCGGAAGCCCTCCCGCCGCTCGCGGGTCACGCGGTCCCGGGGCTGCGGCGCCTTCTCGCTCTGAGGGCTCGGGAGACGCTGCTCGCGTGGCCACACTCCGGCCCCCGCAGGAACTGCGTCCAGCGCAGCGCTTCCCCCATGGAATCACAGAATACTCTGAGTTGGAGGGACCCTCAAGGATCATCGAGACCAACTCCTGACCCCGTACAGCACCATCCCCAAGGTCACACCATGTGCCTGGAGGTGTTGTGCAGACACTGCTTAAGCTCTGTCAGGCTTGGTGCTGTGACCAATTCCCTTGGGAGCCTGTTCCAGTGCACAACCATCATCTGAGGAAGAACCTTTTTCCAATATCCAAGCTGAACATCCCCTGACACAACTTCAGGCCATTCCCTCAGGTCCTGTCCCTGGTCACCACAGAGAAGCCATCAGTGTCTGTCCCTTCTCCTCCCCTCAGGATGAGGTTGTAGACTGTCAAGTCTGACCCTCAGTCTGCTTTTCTGCAGGCTGCACAGACCAAGTCTCAGCCACTTCTTATACACCTTCCCCTCAAGGCCCTTCACCATCTTTGTTGCCCTCCTTTGGACGCTCTCTAATGGCCTAGTGTCTTATTTTACAGTGCCCAAAACTGCTATCAGGGTTCAAGGTGAGGCCACCCCAGCCCAGAGCAGAGTGGGACACTCCCCTCCCTTGACCAGCCCGTGATGCTGGGCCTGATACCCCCAAGACTCAAATGTCCCTCCTGGCTCCAGGGCACTGCTGACTCACATTCAACTTTCTTTCAACCAGGATCCCCAAGTCCCCTCCTGTGACGCCACTCTCCAGCATCTCATTCCCCAGTCTGTTTGTATTATACAGCATTGCCCCATCCCAAGTGCAGAATCTGGCATTTTCCCTTGCTGAACTTCATCTGGTTGGTAATTGCCAAGTTCTCTAAATTGTCCAGGTTTCCCTACAGAGCCTCCCTCCCTTCGAGGGAGTCAACAGCTCCTCCCAGTTTTTTATCATCTACAAACTTGCTCAGTTTCCCTTCCAGTCCTGCGTCCAAGTCATTAACAAAGATGTTAAAGAGCACAGGGCCAATGATGGAGCCCTGCAGGACTCCACTAATGACTGATGCTAACCTAATGTCACCCCAGCCACTGTCACCCTTTGTGGCCAACCCATGAGTCAGTTGCCCATCTATCACATGGAATGTTTACACAGCTGAATGCTGGACATTTTATCTGGAAGGATACTATGAGAGACAGCATCAAAAACTTTACTGAAACCCAAAAAATTACATCTATCACTGGCTGGGTGACTATGTACAAATCACAAACTGGATGGGACTGCTGAGGAATGTGTCTCAAGCTGTTTATTTTCTAGTATTAGTCTCATTACATGGTTATGACAATGGGAGGATTCCAGCAGCTCACATCCCAGGCAGCAGACAAAGAACTTAATGTTACAACTTACTTTAAAAGCTTTTTGAGCAGTCACACAAAGCAAAAGCATATTGACAGTAGTTCTGTCTAACCACTATAAGCACAAGTACCTTTGGTTAAAACAATTCTCGCTTATTTCGAATACAATACCTGCTTTTGAGCCTTAAGATACAATGCACAGAGCTCTTATCATTAAGCTTAGAACTTCCTAATATCTCTCTAGATATACTTTTCTATAACTTAGGGAGTTATTCTACCCAAGCATTAATACACTGACCATTTCTCTATTTGTCCTTACTTTCTACTTGTTGTATAATTTTTCTGCTGACAAATCTTATGGCTACTGCTTAGCTCTGATCACAGTTCTGCTGTCTCTGAGACCTGCCTTTTGCAACTTGTCCAAAGCCTTCTGATTTTAAGGATTCCCACACATCACCTGGCTTTCCTTGATCAACCAGGTGGGATACCTTGCCACAAAAGGAAATCAGGTTTGATAAGCAATTTCATGAAGCCGTTGCTGGCTGTGACCAGTGACTGTGTTGTCTTCTGGGTGTTTTTCAATAACTCCCAGAATAATCTTCTCCATAACTTTATTAGACATTGAAGTGACATTGTCAGGCCTTTAGTTTCTGGGGTATTCCTTGAAAACTGAGCCCTGTGGCCAAACTTCTGCTCTACAGTGGCCGTGGTCCTGTGGCTGGCATGAGGTGTGTCTGATGGGATCCCCAGGTCCTGGTGCAACCTGTGCCACGTGGTCCCAATGTCCCGTCTTACATGCACACTTGGGAACATTGCACAGTCTCAGGATTTCCTCAATGCAGCAGGAGTTGGATAGGCTCAGCTGTACCCCAGACATGGTGCAGACTCAGGCCACCTGCTCACAAATCCAATTCCCCATTTTTGAAATAAAGTACCAATGAGAAGGACAAGAGTTAAAAATGCACTAAATCACTGAAGTAGTACAGGACAAATTCACGGACAAATAAAAAAAGTTATGAAAGATGAAGGAATGATGAAGGAATAACCAAATCTGCAGGAACCAAGAGCCATGAACTGAGAAGTAAAGAGCAGGAGGACACTACAAAAGAAACTAAAATGCCAAAGAACAACTTTGTTTGAACTTTGTGCTCACGAGCATAGAAAAATCCTCACCCGTAGGCTGTGATTGTCCCTTACAGTAGTCATCCTGCCTGCAGTCAGAGCCCAGCTGGGTAGGAGAACATGAGAAGACAGACAGCAGCTAAGACTCAGCTACCTCCCTGCATGTGATTTGGGTCAGGAAAGCTAGACCTCATCTGGATATGACCATCAGGTAAGGGAGAATCCCTGGGAGTTGTCAAAGCTTCTGTTTCACATTCTGTTTTTTATTTTATGTGACTTGACACAGGTCCTGCTTAGAAGAGCCTTGGGGTTTTGAAACCTCCTTGCTCTGCTCCCCTTTACATGACATCTCTCCCTGATGTGGTTGCATGCCCTGCCTGCCCAGTGTGCAAATGAGTGCAGGTCCTTCCACACACATGGTGCCTACATAACCACCAACCCTTATCCATCAGAAAAGGCTCTGTCAGATCCAACTTGTAAATCAAGCCCTGCCTTTTCCTGCAGAACTTGCTGCCTTACCCTGAGGGAATCCCACCTCAGAGCTGTGGGATCTCATACTGTGAAAAACGCTAATCACTTGTTTTAAAATTTTAAAAGTTTAATAGTAATAAAATAGTTATAAAAATAGTAATAAAAATTAGAGCAGTAAGAATTTGGATAATTACAGTTAGGACAATAAAGGACAATAAAAAGCAAATAATTACAAACTTTCAGATGCTTTCCTCTTTAAAGCATGGCTCACTAACAAAGGATTAACCTTTAAAAGCAATAGCCTGCTGCATATATATATCTCATACATGATGCATAAATTATTTTCAAACAAAGGGTGTTCTCTGGTTATGGTTAACTTCTTCCCTTGGTGACTCCTTAAAGATGGAGGGGAGGTGGAAGGATGGGTTTTTTTCTGATAAGGTGTCTTAGGTGTTTTGTTGCTGTTATTTCTGTGCAAATAATTTCTTGATTATCTCATAATTTTCTTGAGTTAGTTAAAAAATATCTTACATTCCATAGTTCCTAACATTATGTTATAGCCTAAAACTATATCTATCACACTACTTCAAAAGGATTAATACAGTACTACAAAATAACTTTCCAACATAACACATAAAGTATTCAATTTAATATTTGCAAAGAGCCAATAATTTAATCTGCATTTTTCACACATACCCATAACATTCTAGAAGAACCAAAGCAAATCATGCTGCTGCTGGCAAATGTGTTTCCATTCCCCAAAACCAGACATCCACCAGAACAGGTTAGTCTGGCTACACAGCAACCCCTCGGCTGGTTCTTCAGCCCATGGCACTCTGTGTTAGGTCTTTTCTTCTGCAAAGCAATAAAAATGTTAACAAGTTGGATTAGTTATACCAGGCAGAACAACCCCAGTGAACAGGAAGGAGGGATGCTTGGGCCAAACAAAACACAAACATGCAGGTAGAACAGGAAATTCAGCAGGAAAAAAACTCCATCTCACTGACAGTCAGGGTGTGGTATCCCACCAGGAGAGAGTCAGAGGCTGTGTTTAGGACCTTGCTCCAGGCTTCAACTAGACCCACTAGTACCCACTGATAGGAAAGGCTGTGCTAATGTCTTTACAAATGAGTTGATTGTTGAGAGTCTTTAAGAGAAATGGGTGTTAATATCTTTGAAATGTGTCTTAATCTACAAAGATCAAGCCACACAAATTTGTTACAGAACCCAAACAGTTTTGACCGGATGGTCTGAGCTTCTGAGTTTCAGGATACTAGGAGAAATGGGTCCACACATAGTCTATTGCAGAACCCAGACAGCCTGAACTTCTGGTGGATCTGCAGAACAAACCCCGAACTTCTTAACTTTGGGGGGAAATGTCAATACATGCTCAAGTGTGGAATATGTGGTAGGCAGTTCCAAAAGACTGTACCTTCCTAGTAACTCAGTCAATGGGGAAAGGAAGAAGGCAAAATGTGGCTGGGAGTTTAAGGAGAAAAGGAAGCTGTGTCCTGTGAAACTGAGAGAGATCCCACAGGGGTATGACCCAGTGGACTCTCTCCCTTTATTTGAATAAAGTTGAAGGACTCTTCTGTCTACTTTGTGGACACTGGCTTTTCCACAGACCACCAATATGTTCCCCAAAGAAATATGGTTTTACAGTGAGTCCCTGAACAAGGTGACAGACTGATGAATTTCTGGCTGTAGCACCACTGTGACTGCTGTTGCCCTTGTCCACTCCTGGCCTTGTCAGTAGCAGGAGAATGGAGTTTGTGATAAGATTGCTAGATGGATTTGTTATAAACGAGAGTTTATTTTAGCCAGATTAAAAAAAAATAAAAATAATTTTATTAACGGTCAAATTCTATCTAGCCAGCCACACAGAAAGGACAGAGCCGAGCCCGGGGTCGACCCTGGGTGTGCAACAAGGAGTCAGCCTCAGCAGAGGTTTTCCCCTATGCCCACACACCTCCATCCTGGCACAGGCGGTTTTTATAGGGAAAATTCTGCCTGAGGCCAAGGTTTTAGCAATCAGTCCTTTCTTCTATTCAGAGTCCATATGTTAATAAGGATTTCTTTTTGGTGATGAGGAGAAAAAATTCAATGTTGAGCATTTACGGGAAGGCTTCATTCACATGGATCAGTCTGAGTATTTCCATTATATCCATCTTGGACGATCAGCACAGACGATCAGCAGACAATGGCCCATCTCCCGGCCGAGCCACATCCGTTTACTTGTAAATCAGTTTCCAGTATACACTCAGTCTCACCTGCAAAAAGGGGGGGTTTGGGGGGGGGAGGAACTAATACAACGGGCATGATTTAACAAGCATCCAATATTACATATTTCATACAAGGAATGGCGCAAATTATATTTACTATACATAACAGATTCTAGATGGATTCTGACTGGAAGCCTTGCAGCATCTACTGGACTTTCATTTATGCCCCAGGTGATTCCCTCTATTTAAACTTTCTATGCTAAGACTGTGGAAGAGGTGGCATGGTGAGACAGGATGCAGTGACTGCCATTTCCTGCTAATACCAGTTCTTGCTCTGTGGACTGAAGTGAGCAAACAACACACCACTCATTTGGACAGCTTATTTCAACAGCTCAGAAGCTTTCATTCTCCCAGTCCTTGTGACAGCCTCTGAGCCACCGAGCATCTACCAGACTTCCTGCTTGCTGATCTAGGGGAAAAAAGAGTCCGGAAGAGAGAAAAGACGCTTTATGGCAGGTGTCTGGCCCTCAGCAAGGCAAAGAGAGCAGAAAGATGGAAAACACAATGCCATTGCAGAGTTGGGAAGACTGAACAAGATATCCCTTCCCAAAGGGAAGACTTTCCCTCCATGCTCTCCTCACTATTTTTAGCCTCTGCTGAGAGGTCTCCTTGGAGACAGATGCATTTCCAGATTGACACTTTGGTACCCCAGTGGAAGTAATTCTCTGCTAGCTTTGAGACTAAAAGAAGAGTTAACACCAATTGTTAATTGTTCAGTGACAAGATGTACCAGGACTTAGCACCTGGACTGTTGTTGGCACAGCTCCTGGTCTAGTTTTAACCAAGCCCCAACCAACTGTGCCAAATGGTGACCTGCAGTGGTATCCATTCTGGATGCAACACTGCACGACCCAGTGGCAGTGCCAGCTGTTCCATGTGCCAGGCAGCAGCATGCACAGACTGAGTCCACAGACCTCTGGCTGGTTCCCCACCAGACCTTGCTCTCCCCTGGGAAGACATGGCAACAGAGGTTCATAGCATCTGCTTGGACATGGTCATCAGGAGACAACCTTGTGGCTATAAGTCACCCTGTGTCCTCTGCAGCATCAAGATTTATATGTGAACACCTACCTGCTGCCGAAGCCAGCACAGGGCTCAGTCAACTGCTAAATCACCTATCAGCACCCTTCAATAGTCAGTTCATGCAGGAAGGTGCCCCAGACTCCAATATCAGCATTTCTTTACCCCAGTGCTCTGTTGAGGTTTGGTGCAGCTGCTCTGGCCTCCCCTCATAGAGGTGGTGTCTTGGCTTGTAACATAAGCATGTATTCTGTTTGCCATCTGTTGGAGGTTGGTCAGTTTTCTTATCTCTTCCAAGAACAATGTCTCCCTCCGGGGAGATATCTTCTGTTAATGGACCATTGAATGACTCACTGCATGACCAGTAAAGTTACATCATCCCATGGTGAGATGCTCCACCCAGAGGGAGGAGCCAAGCATCTTTACCTGCATAAAATCAGCATTTTTGGGACACCAGAGCAGCCCTTCACTGGATTCCCAGAGGAAGACCAGGCCCAACTACTCCATCACCAGACCTTCAGAGAAAACTCCACCCTTCCCCGCTCCAGCAGCATTTCATCTGCCACTCCAGGAGGAGCAGCCACCATTTAACTAGACTATTACCAACACCCTGACTCCTCAGGGTGTCAGGTTTCTGACTCCATCACTAGTTTTGTTTGTACTAATTACTTTCTTTTTTTATTTAGTTTTTCTCCTAGTAAAGAATTGTTATTCCCATTCCCATATCTTTGCGTGAGAGCCTTTTAATTTTGAAATTGTGGTAATTCGGAGGGAGGGGGTTTACTGTTTCCATTTCACAGGAGGCTTTTGCCTTCCTCCACAGACTCCTGTCTTATCAAGCTAAGACAGGTGGCAATGCTGGTTAGTGGGACACAATGGGCTGCTACCAGCCTCCAAGAGATGCCCTGTGCCCTCCCCAGAGAGGGGCAGTGATATGTTGGGTGTCACCACTGGTAATGACACACACCAGAGCCATGTATGTCGTTGCCAGTACCCGCAGGCCAGCAGAGTGGGAGGGCTGGGCCTGGTCTGAATGGCAGCTGGTGCTTCCCAGTACCTTGAAGGAAGGAGAGCTGAATAACTACATTGTTTATATTTAAAAAACCAAAGACATCTGTTTGTCAGAAGAGTCTGGGCTGGCCCCAAGACAAATAATATAGTGAGAGAAAATAAACCGTCCCCTAAAAAAAAACCCAAAAGACACAAAAAACCAAACCCCCAGAAGTCTTTTCCAAGAATATCCAAAATCTCCTTAACCTCATCCACTAGACCACCCTGAAGATGGAAATGTCAACCTGTTTCAAGACAGCTTTGTCAAAGGCACTTTGGTGCAGAAAATGCAGTAAGAGCAGAGCTGCCCTCAGCAGTTGTGTCCCAGTTCCTTGTGCTGGAGCAGGTAGTTCCACATGGACAGCAGTGAGAGTACTTCAGCTGAACTTGCAGACACAGTAAACACAAGGAATTGTATCTGGTATCTCTGGCTCACTTCCCTGGTGGGATAGACTGGTTAGGCACAAGACATTAAGGTAGTTCTGATTTCTCCCTGTTATTCCTGGATGTTCCTGCAAAGTCAGAGATGGGGGAGGAACCTAGGGGAAATCCTCTTTTTTTGCAGATCAAGCTTTTGCTGAGCAAAACAGCCCATGTCCAGAGCTGAGCAGCACCATCGTGACTGCCTTGTTTTTGGAGTAGGAATTCACTGGAAGAGAGTAGGAAGCACTGATTCCTTCTCTCTGTAGCCTGAGCAGGTGTGAACCTGTTCAGTCAAACAGACATCTCAAAGAGGTAGGATGATTTAAGCAGGAACCTCAGAAATTTATGAAAATAAATGAGTTAAAGAAAAGCAGATTGTGAACAGCTCAGCTCCAGCACAGAGAGCAGCAAGAGCACAGAAAAGCTTTCTGAGGGTCTCCAGAGGCTGCTGTGATTTACCTGGCAGCCTGGGGCTGGCAAGGCTGAGTCTCCATGGAGAAGTGGCAAGAATGGAATGAGAAGCAAGAAGTAGGACCAAAATGCTGAAGACACTTGGATGAAGTCTGACCTGGACAGAGAATCTGATGGCAAGTGGAGCACAGCAAGGACCAGGTGGGTGGGAGGGCTTGAACCTCAAGTAGCTTCCACCCTCTTCCTTCAAAGCCCTTGCAGAGCTAAAGGGAATCACCCCTGGCATGCGTGTGGCAGAAGAAGGTGTCTGTGGCACAGGAAGATGTCCAGGACACAGGCAGTCTCACAACCTGGACAGTGGTTCATCACCTTTCCTGGCCATCACTGTTCTCCAGCAGACTTGCTCCCTGACACTCCTCTCAGCATTGTGAGCATCAAACCAGGGTGGGGGGTCTGGAGGTGCTGACGCATGTCTGCCCAGAGCCCCTTGAGCAAACTGAAGTGCCTGTGATATGGGAAATCATTACACCAGGGCTTTGCAGTCTGCTGTGTTGCAAGGGACTCTGATGAGGGGGTTTGCAGAGGAGGCAGCACCTTGCACTAGGATTAATATGCTACTGTGTCTAACAGACAGCAAATTTCCGTGTAAAGTAGAGAAACTCATTCTCTTACCAATGCCAGTGCATATTAATTTTGTAAAAATAAGATCCAAATCCTGTTTCTCTCACTTTTGTCAACACTGGTGCGTTTTCCCCTCTTTTTTTATGTCTGTGGTTCAATAGGGGCCCTACCCTATGTCCTGCTGGCTGCTGGCCACAGTGCCTTACCAGCCATAGCACTGGGAGGATGGGATTCTATTCCCTCTGTCAGCATTTATTTCTCCCATGGCAGCAGACAAATACACCACACAGGACTCCTCTGTGCTGGTGCACTACAACCCCCTCCTGTAGAAATGCTGCATTGACTGACACTTCTTGGATGTGTTTGCAAGTGTGGCAGTAAGAGTGAATACCACCGTTGGGATTTTCCTTGTCCCTGTTCACTAATCACATTGTCTCTGAAGTCTTTAGAAATTGTGCTGGTTTTGGCTGGGTTAGCGTTAATTATCTTCATGGTAGTTGTTACGGGGATAGGTTTCGAATTTGTGCTGAAAATATGGAGACCAAAATATAGTGTTGACAATACAGAGATGTTTTTCTTACTGCTGAGTGGTGCTTGTACAGACCCACGGTCTTTTCTGCTTCTCACCCTACCCCACCAGGGAGGGGGATAGAGGTGCATAAGGTGTTGGGGGAATACACAGCCAGCACCCAACGGACCCAAGATATATTCTGGACTATACGACATCATGCTCAGTATATAAAGTCGGAGGAAGAAGGAGCAAGGATTTGGCGTTTGTCGCGGTCCCTCGTCCACAGGGGAAGGTCGGGCTCCTCCGCAAAAGGAGCGGGATGGGGCGGGGCACCGCGTGCAACTCAAATCGCCGTTCTGCCTCTCAGCCAATGGCCGGAGCACCTTCCCGCCGCCAGCCAATGGGAGTGCGGCACTCTCCGCCGCCAGCCAATAGGCTTGGGGGGCGGAGCTTGGAGTAACGCTCGGAGCTGTGGCCATGGCCCCGGAGCGCGGCGACCGCTCGCTCCCCGTCGGTACCGAGGGTCTTCCCCGGGTTTTCCTGCAGAGCCTGCGGACTCTTTTCGATATCCTGGATGACCGACGGCGAGGCTACGTGCACCTACGGGAGATTGAGTCGCGCTGGCGGGGAGCGGAAGCCCAGGAGCTGCCCGCTGGGGTGATGGAAGGATTGCGGCAGGCGGCGCCGGCCAGCGGGTACCTCACCTTCGAGAGGTTCGTACTGGGGCTGCGGGCGGCCCTGCCTGGGACTGAGCCGCCGGTGGAGGGTGGCAGCGGCGGACAGCGGAGCGCGGAGAAGCCGCCAAGCCCTCGCTGTTCCGAGGAGCGGCGGGGAAAGAGCGCCGGACAGCGGGAACGGGGGCACGGCCAGCCCCGAGGCCGCGGTGAGTGGCGGGACTGGCTGGGGGTCTTCGGGCTCGCGGGGATGATGGCAGCGCCAGGGCCGGGGACTGGCGCTCGGAGGTCGGGGTGGGATCCCGCGGCTCACCCTGCTCCCCTGTGCCCTCTTCTGGGCACAGACCCGACGGTTCCTGCAGGGCCGCTGTGAAACTCCCCCAGTTATTGTTAGTACTGGTTTGGCTTCGCTGAACTCCGATTCCGGCGCGAATATCCCAGCGCCGCCGCTCGTCCAGGGCTGTGCTCCCCTCGCGATGCGCCGGGCTATTTATAGCGCTGACAGGAGGAATTAAGGTCTTTGCCGTAATGTGTCCGTGGTTGTCCCCTGGCGTAGAGTCTGTCCTGACCATTTCCGGGGGTGGGTGGCACAGCTGGACTTCTCGGAGAATGGCTGGGTCCTGAGGACCCCAAAGCCGAGCAGCTTCGCTGGGGTGAAGCTGCGGTCATTGAGCAGCCGTGTGCTGGGTGGGCTTTGTGCTGGGCTGGCTCTCAGGAATGATTCCTTCATGATGTCATGCATGGTTTAGACAAAAAATGCAAGACCTGATCCAGCTTTTTGGTTTGGATCATTCCACAGCACTATTCCCAATAACAAATAATTAATCAATGAATAAATGGGAGAGCAGTACCAGGACGATGCTGTCCTAGGCTCTGCTCACAGAGCTCACCTGTACATCCCTGTGGACTCTGCCCTTTTCACGGGATCTGGGCTCCCTGTGCTGGCTCTGCCAGAGCCCTCCAGGGTGGTACATTGACCATAGCGTGGGGGAGACTGTTTCGCTGGCATCTTGATTTGTTGCTAGTCAGTAGAAGATGTTATAAGGAAAACAAGGCTTCTGGGCTTATCTGGGTAATAATTCTTTATCTAGGTTTGTGAAGTGCTTTGAGATCAGAGGAAACAAAGTCTGTGTGCAGAGCCGGTACATGTTATTGCACCACCTGAGTGCAATGACTTCCTCCACCTTGGGTAGATCAGGCTGGTTTGCCTTCCCAACCCAGTTGCTTCTGCTGGGTGGAGAAGAAACTTTTAACTGTGACTGAGGTTCTCTGCTTTCCATTTTTGCCTCCAGATTAACCACTGGAGCTACATATAAGGGAATATTATTATGCAGACTAACTTTTCTATCATCAAGAGTGTAAATCTGGAAAAACCTGAAAAAAATCCGGCTTGCTGAATAGACAGCAGGTTGAAAGCTCTGCCCTGGGAAGAAGCAAGCAGATGACTGCAGCAGCTTTCTGCTTGCTGAGGCTCTTTCCATTACAGGGTGATGTTCTATAATTGTCCAGAGCCTGTGGGCAGGGTTAGTGCCTCAGCCGTTACTGCCAGCATCCCACACTGCAGGGCTGTATTTTGCCAAGAGGCCTGAGTTTCAGGTTCATTTGGCAGCTTAGAAAATGGTACAACTCAGATACTCCATTTCTTTTAGCTCTACATCCTGCACAATTGCCCAGTGTGCCACTCTACAGGTGGTTTCCCAGGGTGCAGTTGAACAGGTGGATGTTCTCAGCTGGCTGCAAGGGAGTTGGGCAGTGTTGTGACAGGATATGTCTCCATCTCTGCTGCAGAGATGTGTGGTGGGTGCTGGGAGCTGCCTGTGGCTGCAGGAAGACCTGTCTCCACTAAGATTATATCATTTGGGTGTGAGGCTACTCTGAGCCTCCAGCTGCATGTGGTAGCTTCTGTAAGACCCCAACCAAGTGCAGTGAGATGATGTATTGGTACTCATAAGCTGCAGCGAGTGGGAGGAAATGCTCCCTGCCTGCATTTTGGTGGAAGAGTGTGCTCACAGAGGGCCTTCCCAGCTCTGCTTTAGGTCTGAGGAGCATCTACACATGTCAGAGGTGATTTGGATGTGACTCATGGCAAAATGGCAGAGGTTGGGGTCAGGTGGTTCTCCTGGCATGTCCAGGGGTGCAGTGAGCCAGTGGGACAACAATTCTGTTCCCTCTCCCACACTAACCTCTGCTAGCATGTGGGCAGACCTCAGAAGTGCTTCTGAGGTCCCTGCTTAAATCAGCTTCCAGCTTCTCTTCAGCCCAGCAGTGCTGGTGCAGTCTGCAAGCTGCTGCTTGGCACCCCATGGTCCCTGGGGAGCCAACAGCACCCACTGGACACAAGGATGCTGAGGTGGATATTGGAGAAGTCACAGGGCAGGGAAGTCACCATAATGATGTCCCTATGTACCTGGTGCCATCACAGCAGTGTCTGAACGCATTGCTCTTGGGGGTCTTTAGTCCAGTAGTTCCCCTGTGAGCTGGGACCTGGAGAAGTCAAGGCACAGAGCAGAAAGAGCCCGGAAGTGTGTCATGGCCCTGGGGACTGGCTCCTCCCCAGCACAGTGCTTTCCCTTGGTCCAGAGGTGGCTTGGCTCTAGCATCTGGAGAGCTCCTGTTGGCATTAGCTGGAGGGAGGGGATGGTTTGTAGGGGCTTCTCTGGGCCGTTGCCAAGGGTACTTGTGGAGAAATGTAAAACAGCCATGAGGTGTCTGCTTGCCCTGGGCAGAGTGGGTCCCAGAGGAAGGAAGGAGCCTGTCCATTATCACATGGCAGGATCTTTTCCACTTCTGGTGATCTGATCCTATTCTTTCCCTAAGAACAACTATCCCAGCTCATTAGCAGGGGTCCTACTTTTAGCCACTAGCTTGTCAGCTCAGGTGTGCGGAGCTTGGTTGGTTAACCAGGAGCTCTTGCTTATCACGGGTGCAGCTCAGCTCAACCCAGCACTTTTAAGTAACTGTAGCAAAAAAAAGTTTTATCATGTGTTTGTCCTGCAGCTCCTATCAGAAGTGCTTTTGGCTTTGCCTTGGGATTCTGACTGTTGAGAGTATCTTTGGTTTTGGGGCTGTTCCTCAGTTTTTTTGAGCAGGACATACTACATGTCCTAGGTCTGCTAGGACAATGTATGTGGTCACACCAGTCTTGCTGGGTTCCTCCCAGATAGATTTGGGTATATGAAACCAGAGGGAGCTGGCAAAGCAGATGGATGGGTGATATCAAATACTTTGTGTTCGCAAATGCTTTATGTTCACTGATGTGCTAGAGACCTGTCTGTGCCAGAGTACTTGCTGGGAGGTGGAGTGAGATACTGTGATGGACTAGAAGGAGGACTTTGCCCATGGTGACTTCTTTCCCCAGTGACACAAAGTGACAAACTGAGGTGTCGCATTGCCTGCGCCCCGAGCCTGTCTTCTGTCCCTGAACCAGTGTGACTGTGGCAGCAGAGGCAGCCCTGGTACAGGGCTCCCACACTTCGTACCTTCAAGATGAGGAGTGGCTCCTGTGGCCATGGCTTGACGTTCCCCCCCGCCCCCCCCCCCAGCCCCCTGAATTATCAGGCTAGCCCAGAGGTCCAAGGCTTTGAGGGGAGGAATATCAGGAGATGGCAAAGGTTTCCAAAAGAGGCTCTTACCCCAGGTATGTTGGTTCAGCTCTCTTTATTCTGTGGTGTCCAAGGGGAGAGCGGGGCAGAAGAAGACGAACAGGAAATGTCAGGGGTCTATATAGACTTTGGACAGGGTGGGCTTCCCTGGCTCTCCACCAACCCCATCGGGGCAGGAAGGAGGGGTCCAGAGTTATCCTGATCAGAGTCACAGGGTCCTGGGGAAGGGGAAATAGAGTGTCCACGAGCTCACTGTAAAAATGGCTGTCTTCTCCTGCCATATATCCTTCCTCTCTCATGTCCATGTGCTCAGCTGAGGAAACTTGTGAAGCAGAGGGAAGAAAATTGCCTGCCCCTGTGGTGCTGCACACCCTCTCCTGGGACTCACAGCCCTTCATGTGCCTGCGGCAGGGAACGTGCAAGACCTGTGCCAGGCAGCTCTGGTTGGATGTGCGAGGGGTGGGGGTGCCTGGCAGACGCGGGGGGAGCTGTCTTGGGGAAAGGGCATTTTCCCCAGCTGCCTGCCATCACTTGCCGGCTCCCTGCTGCTCTTCTTGAAAAGCCAAGTTGGGAATGGAACTCTTGAGGAAGCCTGTGTGCAGCCAAGCTGTGGGACTGAGTGGGTGGCATGAGAGAGGGTGTGCTGGGCACTTGGCTGGGGACTGGGGCAGGAAGGAAGTGAGCACCAGGCTGTTATCCAGACTTGCCTGGGGATGTGCTGGCTGTACCCCTGGCTGCCCTGATGCTGTGGTTTGGGACAGTGGGGTGTCAGGGTTCTACTCTACCAGCTCACATAGCAGTGGATTGGAGCTGGCTTGGCTGTGACTGCAGGGCTGCGTTTCTGGTGAGGGTGAGCAGTGTGAGGATTGTATGGCCTTTACTGCAGGAGCCCAGGGAATTCCTGCTCTGGCTGATAGGCAGGAGGTGCCTGATCCAGCCTGGAATCTGCCAGTATGAACTTAATCTTCAAAAACAAGTTATGCATAGATTTGCATTAGTGCCATGTGGTTTTAGTAGATTGGTCTTCTGCAAGATAGGATGTTGGGGGTTTAACAAAATTTTGGAAAATCTACAGTCTGATTTACATTATTGCATCATAGACATAGTGTATGGGCTGGATATCTACATGGCCAAGTCCATCACCAAGCAAGAACTGCCTTCAAGAGAAGTTGGTTTCCTGGCAGAGCTAATGCCACCTGAATGGAAGCAAGGTGTCCCATGAGGACACGTCAGGGCAGGCAATATCAGTAATGGTTTAGTTGCCCTGGCTGGGAGTGGACCAGCTTTTCCTGGAAGCTACTTGTTTTCTACAGAAGATGACTGAGATCTGTTGCCAGCCTGGCACAGCTGAGTCAGTCATCTGTTCTGCCTGGACAAAAACAGGAATAGGTATTCAGGCTGGTGGTTTGCTCAGTCTCTCCCTGTTTGCAAGACTGCCCTGCAGATCATCTCACAGAAGTGGCCCTGGGGAGGATTTTGTTGAAAGTAGCTTGTGGCCTCCTGCCTTCCTCTGTTCCAGGTGGTGATGTAAAGTCTGCTGGGCAGCCCCACGAAGACAGTGGCTACCCAGGGACTGGGGACACTCGGAGGCTTCAGAGAGGTCGTGCAGAACACCGGAGACACACCATCACCAATGGCATGGACTTCAGCATGGTAAGGGAGTATTGTGGGCTCCCGTAAGAAGGGGAAGGTGGGTTGCAGAGGTCCCTCATTGCTGATGCTACCTCTGGGCTTTGGCTTCCTCTCTGTCCACCCTGCACAAGTGAGTTGTGGGACATAAGACAAATCCTGATATTTGGATATGAAGGTCTGTTGATGTGTGTGGATGTATATTATTTCCAAGTTGCTTTCCTGAATCATGCCAGACAGGAAGGAGGTGGATCCTTCTCCCAGAATGGGGTCAGCTCATGAAGCCAGTGTGCTGGCTGCCTTCCCCATGGGCAAGGTCTTGGGAAGAGGAAGACAAAGGTGGAGGTGTGGGAACAGATGGATCTCTGGGCCTTAAGAGCACCCCAGCGAGGGTCAGGTATGCTTTGTGCTGTCAAGCAGTGGGGCCAGGCTATGCCCCCTCCCAGATGTTCCATATAGATCAGGGCTCAAACATGCGGCTTCTCTTGACTTCCAACAGCTAACAAAGCAGAGAAATCCGCACTTGGCTTTCTTGCTAGCAAAGCAGAGAAATCCACACTGAATTTACCAAGGCAGCCCAGGATGGAGGGGTTCGCTCCCCTCTCTCCACCGCTGAGTGGAGAGACCTGGATAAAATTGCCTGGGTGATCTCATTTGCTCCCAGATGGAATGGAGTAGCTGCCTGGGCATGCTGTCCACAGGCTCAAGCTAAATCGTCCTGGGCAGAGAGCCAGGTCCAAGCTTGCAGGATGAGTACTTGGTGGTGCTGTCACCACTGCATTTTTGCTCCTTGCCCCCTGGTGTCACCCTGCTCCTGCAGCCCAACAGGCCTCACCAGCAGTGCTCAGCCTGTCGCTGGCCTTGGGGGACACAACATGCCCCATGGGTGACATCCATGTGCCACCCTGGGGAGGGGATGTTTGTGCAGGTAGTTTGCTGAGCTTGCAGCCTTGAGAGGGACCTCTGCTGGGAGGTGCTGATAAGAAGTGATAAATGTCGCTCTGTTTATCTGGGATTGAGGGCTCTGTTTCTTGGGGTTTTGGGAGCTGGGGAGAGAGGAAGGTCTCTGCTTCCCTTCTCTGTGTGTGCAACTCTGGGCTGGAGTACATCTCAAGGTTCCAAGCTCAAGATCCTCTGAGGGGAGTGTTGGCCACCATGTCTTTCCCCAGTTCTACCATAAGCACTCTTGCTCAGGGTTTGTGTTGCCCTGGTCTCTATTCCCCCAAGGTATCATGTGGGCAGTGGGAGGGACGTCCCCTCCTGCCCTCTCTCCCTAGATGTTGCCAAGTGCTGCACTGCCTTTCTGTGCTTTTGACCCCAGAGAAAGGGCGTCTCGCTCTTCCCTGACACCCTGAGCACAGCCTTAGGTGCTGTTTCCAAGCCTACAGAGACAGCTGGAGCAGGTTTGAGTCCAGCAAGGACTGAATCTTTGTACAGTCACCTCCCTTACCCCTTCCTGCCCCAGTGTTGGGTTCGCAAGGGACAAGGAACTCTGCCATTAGACTAATTTGCCTAAAGCCCTTGGGGAATTGCAGCACCGGTGTCTATCCTACATCCTGAAGTGCACCAGGACTGGTTCCTCCTGAGCAGGGAAGCAGAGCTGTGGAGGCTGTGCTGCAGCTCCAGGAACCTTTGCACCCTGTCATCTGGTGCTCACTTGCTCAGCTGGTGTTTTTCCAGCCAGTCCCTCATCTGTTAACCTTATTTTCCCATGGCCATGAGGGTGGCTGGGATGAGACCTTCCCTGAAAGGTGGAGCACTGTCATTTGTAAGCAGCCCAGGGCACAGCTCTGTCCCCTTTGCTTTACAAGCCACTGAGCACCAGCCAAGTACAGTGCTTTGTCTTTTTCCTGCACCAAGTGTCTCATCCTGACGAGATGCTGCCTGTCCCACACTGGGCAGGGCTGGCAGTGTTCCTCTGCTCTGGGGGATGCTCCTTCTTCCTCTGGTCTCTGTGCTGGCCAGCAAGCCCTGTGGGAGGGGGGGTAGACAGGCAGCGGTGGGCTGCACCCTCAGCTGGATGGGGGTCCTTGCCACATACAGCACCTTCTTCGTGCCCCTCAGCAACAGCACTAAGGCTCTGCACTTCTTTCTCTGGGTACGTCCCTTTGGGCCATTGGAGAAGGGTGGGGGTCAGGGGGAGGTTTTGTGTTGCAGAGAGCATTTCCAGGAGCAGCAGCAGCAGGAGCAGCCCCAGTGTAATGGGTGGCAGGTATGGGATGCAAAGAGGCTTTGGGGCTGGCAGTGGGGATGTGGAAATGCTGATGGCCTGAAGAAGGTCTTGGTATGGTGCCACTTATCCACAGGGTTCTGTTCAGGGTCACTTCTGAGCTGCACCATTCCTGATGCCCTCCAAAGGAGGAGGTTCTGGTGCATCCAGCATTTTCTGGGTAACCAAAGTGTCTGGTGCCTGTGGAGCCCAGGCTGTGCTGTGGGTGAAGGCCAGGCTGTGTTGTGGCAAAGAAGGCAGAGGCAGCAAGGCAGGAAGTTCCCCATGCCCTTGGGAGCTGGGGGAACAGCCTCATATTGAAAAGAGGAGAAGGGCCATGGGGTCACAGGGTGAGGGTGATGAATGGGTCACTGCATCAGTTGCTCTGATCCCCAGGGATGTCCCCTCATCCCTTTCTGCCTCTCTGATTGCCGGTGCCAGTGTGGCGCCAAGGGACGGCAGGAGCAGAAGGTAACAGTGGAATGAGGACCGTGAATCCCCTGTGGATGTGGGTGAAGCCCCCTGCTCTGTGGCAGCCTTGGGTCCTGCTTGGCCTATTCCAAGGGGTTGCTCTGGGGACAGAAGCCTCAGGCACGCTCATAGCAGCTCTCCGGGCACAGCAAGGACCCCACTGCTCTTCAGATGATGCTGGTGCAGGAACCTGAGCAATTGGCAGAGATCTTCTGCAGGGAGGTGTGGTGTGCTATGCTCTGCTCAGCTTCATGTGCCTCCAGGGATGAGGCAGACTGGGGAAACCGGGCTGCAGTTTTTCCCTGACTTCCAGCCTGCACAGTGAGCTAGACTCTTCAGTGTTCACCAAAATCCAAATGTGTCTGTTCTGGGGCTGACACTCACACCCCAAAGGGAGCTGGGGGCAGCTGCAGGCTGCCTCCTGCTGTCTCCCTGGGTAAATAGGTGAAGAAACATGTACCTGCAATGGTGAGCAGGAGGGTAGAGGTGACCCAAGTGTCCTTCACGCAGTTTGATTTTTCTCCCAACCTGGAGAACTTTTCTTCCAAAAATCTTCCTCCAAGCAGTGTCAGGCAGTAGTAATTTTCCTGCTCCTCTTCAGCTTTTCCTGGGGAAAGGGGCTGAGACCCTTACCTGTATCCACATGCCCCCACACCTCATGAAGAAACTCCTGGGACTTGAGAAAGCCTTGGTGGGGAGTGGGTGACATCCATGTGCTCTGTCCTGCAGCTGAAGTACATGAAGGAGCTGGA